TACTCCTGACGCTTCCTTGGTCACAGCACTGAACACACAGAGTAGGAGGTTAGCAGCCATCCGTGAGGCCTCTCAGGATTTGGAAAGTAAGTGATAACCACATAATGAGAGGCTGGTGGTGGACCCCGATGTCACTATCCCAGCTGTTATTTTTATGGGCTTTTTTTATTTTTATCAGTCCTTCCTCTCTCTCTCATTCTTTGAGGTCTTCTGGCCTCCAAACCCTCAGGTTTTTTTCTTTGTCATTAAAAAAACCAAACAACAAAGTGATCAAAGTCACACTCCCTAGTCTGTGCTGTTGGTGGAAAGAAGTTGCCTTCAAAAGCTTTCTAGAGACAAAGGGGCATTCCCAGCACAAGGCCTGGCCTGGGGCTGAGGCAGAAGCAGGACGAGTCCAAACCATTTTTCAAAACAAACCCAACCCCACCAAAAAGGTGCCACAACTGACATCCATCCAGCAAGCACAAGAAGAGTGATAAAGAGAGTTATGAGTTTAGGAAAAAAATGAAACTTATTTAATGAAATATTAATAACAAAAAGGAAATAATCAAGTAGATACACAAAACCATATCAAGCTCCCAGGGAGATCTCACCGGCAGGCACTGGTACCCGTGACCACGGATGGAGCCGGAGATCCCTGAGGGCCCACAGGCAGACACATTCCCAGACTCCCCCGCGCCGGAAGCGCGCCCACAGCAGCAGAGCCAACCGGGCCCCTTTGCTCCCTCAGCCTTTATACCTGCGCGCGCAGGCAGATGGGATGGACCATCCCATTGGTCAGTTTGGGTCACCTGACCTGTCCCCCCCGTGTGACCCCTCCCTCCATTGGGTGCACAACCCAGCCCGCTGACCCCCGTTGCCACAGCAACAGGTGGACGCAAGGGCCTCTCTCGCTGGGCAGGAGGGGGCTCCGCGCCACCCTCCGCCTTCTCCGAGGTGACAGTCCCCCTCTGCACACAAATGCGCCAGCGGGAGCGCAGCTACGGTCGGGGGCCCCCTCAAGCCTGGGGTTTGCAACAGCGACAGAAAAGGATGAGGAAAATCATTGGGAGGGAAAGCAAGGGAAGGGAGATGTAGCAAGGACTTGCTGGTCAGGGCCCCAGCAAAGTTGCTGAAGTAACTCAGGTGGGGTGGAGGAAGGAGAAGTGGAGCAGCCCAAACTGTCTTAGGAATTAAAAACTGAACCGTTCTCTAAACTGACTTTCTGGAAACCAATTCCCTCGTTAACTGAGCATTATCTATTCAATTGCCTGCATTGTATCTTCAGCAGTTTTCTTTGCTGCTAGTGCCTCCTTTATAATACCAGAACATTTAAAGTAAAGTCTAGCCATTGATGAAATTCCACATTTATGCTCCCTCCCCCAAAATGTTTTGTGTGGTTATGTCTGAATCCCCACCAACATCTGAAGAAGAGGGCATTTGGGGCAGCAGCAGCTGCTGGAGGAGTGGGGAGGTGGTGGGAGCAGGGTGGGGAAGGGGAAAAGCAGGCACCCAGGGGCAGGAGAGTCCCCTGAGACCAGGCCATGGTTCTGCATCAGCCCTGGCCCTAGCGCTGGCCTGCCTTTCCTTTAATGCTTTCTCTTTTTTTTTTTTTTTCCTTTATACTTTATTTCCATTCCAAAAAAGATAGAGGAGGTAAGTGTAAAGAGCATTAGTGGGTACAGTAGGAACATGCAGGAGGGATCACTGGAGCCAGGATCAGAGGAACAAAGGAAAGGAACCATAAAAGATGGAGAATCCTAAAAAAGATGTTACTGAGAGGGAGGAGGAAAGAAGAAAGAGTGTCTGAAAGAAAAGACGAACGGTATAAAGCACGGTGCGTCAGAAGAGATGAACTCAAAAAAAGGGTCATAGATTTCAGGTTATACATTCCTCTCAGCAAAAAGGTAGGAAAGAAAGTTACATTAAATATGCCATTGCCACACATCTTTCATGTGCAAGAAAGATGTGTGAAAAGAAAGGGGGAAAGGAGTAAAGGGGTGGATAGAAAAGTTATAGGAATAATGAAATGCTTCATTTATATGATACACTGGAAAAAGCCAGAAGGTTAAGTGCAAGGGTGGTAAATAGTATCTCTTTTGAAAGCTGACATCTGTGATGAATCTAATAGATTTCAAAATCTAGTCAAATCAAAAAAAAAAGAAGACAATGACGGTGAATGCGGCAGATTATATTTTGGGAGTGAAGGAAAAGTACAATAAAAATTGTGCAAATGCCACTAACAAGGTAACATTTACAATCGTGTCTTAATATTGTTTGATATTTACTGTCCATGTCTGTACTTATAAATAAGGACTATCATCTAGCATTTGAGCAGGTTCTCAGTATTTATTGTCACGGCAATTTCTCTTAACAATTTACACATCCAGATCCCTTATGGCAAACAGTGATGATGGTTCTCACTTTCATTCATGCGTCTGTGTTAAAGAATCAGGCCAGCAGATTTCTCACACTCACCCACACATAAAAATACCCACAGGTAAAAGGACTACAGGTTTTTCACAGGTTAGAATCAAAAAAGAAAAGTGGCCTTGGTAAAAGCGGAAGATGGTCTGAAAAACAAAGATGCTACGCAACGGACAGCTGGAGACACCTCACTGACCCAAGAAGAGTCAGCTCCACACAAGGGGGAACAACCAGCTACGCTTTACTGCACAGGATCTGGGCATCACCGTGCTACATCAGCTGGCATAATTCAATAGTGACCACTTCCTGTAAAAAAGGGCAAGCCCCACAGCTGTGCATACAGTCAGAAGTACAACAGTGATCCTCTGTCCTCCTCCTGTAAAACCTGGGTGGGAGCCCTGCAGCTTGCTCTGGGCACTGTCCTCAAAGAAAGCTGTAATACCCCCAACCCAATGGAGAGCAGTGAAGTCACTCAATGCTTCAGAAAATGCCAGTGAGAAAATCAAAGGAGGCTGTAATGTTGCAATGGCCATTTCCCTATTTGAGCAAAAAGGTAGGGAACATTTTATTACAGTGATTGTAGCAGTCTGGTCAAAAAATAAGGGAATAAATTGAAGCAAAGAAGATTTAGTTTAGATAATAGGGAAAAAAATTGTAATGGCAGAGATAATGACCGTCTGGAGAGACTCTGCAGTCCTCAAGCTGACGTCTGTACAAACAAAACCCATTTATTTGTACACATGTCACTTGAGGACCCCACAGTGCAGAGCAGCACAAGGAGGGGGAGCCTGGCCTCAGAGAAACCATCCTCTCCTCCCCTCTGCTCTTTGGTATTGGGACTTCAGCTGCTCTTCCACCCATGGGAGACAAAAGTATTAATGCGTTCAGCGCAGTCAGATCAAAAGGCAGATTGGTATGACTCACAGCCACTTAGCAACTTGCCTAAATGAATTGTGGACACAGAATACACTTAAAGAAATCGTTGATAATTTACCTTGAACACCTAGGGATTGAAGCCTTATAGGTCCCTATGGCTATTAACATTCTTTTAGCAAAATTCCTATGTTTTATGCACTTACATTTATAAATCCAGTGGTGTTAGTTCTATGCATAACCTCTAGGTAGAAAAAAAATTTAAAATATGGTAGTTTTCAAATCTAAATTCAAGCAGCTGTTAATCACTTGGCATAAAGATAAATAAATGGAACAGCCATAAACAAATCACTGGTGATTCCTAACTTCTCATTCCAGTTACTTAAAAGAAAGCAGCCTTCTCTCACTTCTATTGTCTGCCTTGCCTTTTATTCTTTTTTTTTTTTTTTTAAATAAACATCCTAAATGCATTCCTATAGGTCTCATTTTCTGCAACAGGTTTTTGCCCTCCTGTTTTTTATTTCTTGGATGACTATTTGCCATTTATATCTCATAATTTCAAACAATTTTAGGAGTGCAATTTGAAAAAGGCAATTCTCTGTATTTGGCATTAATTGTTTTCTAGCTGAAAAAATGCCATTGATGGGTTTTAAATGGCCACCCATAGTTGGTCTTGCCTGATTTTTTAGGTTTTGATTCCAATTCTGCATAGCTGTGGCCAATGGGCTGGCAATCCACCAGCTGCATTCAGCCTCTCTTGCTCCTAATTACTCAGTTTCCCAGTTCTCCTCCCTTGTCGGTTCTGTTCTAGTCACCACAATTGATTCCATTTCTTACTCCTGTATTCACCTGCAGCTCATTAATTTTTGGCGAGTCTCCACTACTGTTTCAGCCCAGCATTTTGCAATTTCTCTCATCACTGTTTGAGGCGGGGAGTCGCCTTAAACGGGGGAGGTCATAAACTAGATGACCTTTGGAGGTCCCTTCCGGCCTGGACAATTCTGATTCTATAAGGCCTTTTTCCTCTTTATTCCGTTTTGTAGGGTCAAAGGACAGTTTAATTGCACCTTATGGAAGAATGGGCAAATGTTTTGCTGTTCTCAGGTGGGTGCCAGGGAAGCTCCTGTCTTTCCCACTGGCCATTTTCCCTCCCAGGCTGGTCTGGAAGCACCAAACTGTCTCAGGGGTGCAGCAGCACCAGCAAACACTTCTTTCTCCTGCAGGCTTAAGAGCTGTTTTTTGCACAAGGGTGCACGAGAAAAGAGACTGATGAATCCTTGTTCTCAGACTGAAGTTCCCAGCTCCAAGTGGTTATTTTAATGAATATTACAATTAATATCCCCCAAGAGGGGGTATTTCCAGCTTCCTGGACAGGGACAGGAGGCACTGATTGATGGCTCTTCTCCAGGAGACCAGAAATGTAGTGCATTCAGATTGGGTTTCTCTCTTGATCCGTTTTTCCTCAGCAGACTCATGGCCTCACTAAAGTTCCTAATGGATATATCATTGTGTAACCAAAATCAGATATTAGCTGTTTGGTGGTTGTACAAAATTGCCTTAATCTGAGTTAATTCTTGGAAGCAGATCTTTATATAAATATGAAAAAAACATTATTCTCTGTGGGGAAGTAAAAGGATGTTTGTGCCTACTTGGAGTTTCCATTCCCAATACTGGCAGATGACAGTGATCAGGTAAGGTATCAAAAGATTGTAGACAAACCCTTTAAAAGCCAACTGGTTGCAGAACAGATTTTATTTGGTCTGTTTGGGCCAAATTAATTCATGTGTAACAGTGGAGTTGCATCACTTGAACCCACACTCAAGTAAAACCTTGATATAGCTCCCTGGCTACTTTGAAATAATTATTAGTAATGCACATTTGTACTTTACAGACATTGTGTTAAATCCTGTCCAATACAGGAAAAGCCATCCATTCAATAGAGACTCCATATTTACTGAAAGAAAAAAACTAGAAGAAGTGCAAAAAAGGTTCAGGAATACAAATGCCCCACATCTTTTCATCAGCCAGTAGTTGTTCCAAAGTGATTTTGAAAAAAAAAAAAAATTATTTGGGTAAAGTTGCGTGAAATATCCAATGCATGAATTTGAAACATTAGTTATTAGAAGGGACTGATTCTTCAAAGCAGACACTAGTATCTAATCAGTTAACTCCTAAGGCAAAAAAGGCAATATACCAGCTGATGCAATTGGTGGCAGCAGGAGTTTGGAAATAAATATCTCTATTTGGCACTGAGAAGTGAAACAGAGCCCAAATTTCTGTGGATTGCTTGGCCCCAAGTTCAGGCCTCAGAGCTCACATTTCTGTGGTGAAGGAAAATTAAATCTCAGAGTTTAAGATCCAGGGTTCAATGTGGCTATTTATTAAAATTCATCTGGCCTCCCTAGACTGTGAATATTTTGAGTTGACCTAGATGGAGCTCTAGATAAAATCAAGCTCTCATGGGGCATTTTCAACGTTTTCTGATAAAAGCTTAGTAGAATTGTGCTAACAAAAACTGAGACACTTTAAAGCAGTGATTATCCTCCTAGCTAGAAACCAGAAACAGTGGCATGTGAAAACAAAGAGCAAACAAAAACCCCAACCCTCCAGAAACCCCAACCGAGAAAAAATCATGGTGATTTATAATGTGGTTGGTCCTGAATTCATTCAGACTACCTCTTCAGAGACGCTGCAGTCAGGGCTGTGGCTGCAGGGTGGCAGACAGAGGCAGAGGAGAAGTGAGCGCTCCCTGCAGAAGGCACCTCAGCTCCCTTGTGCCCACAGCTGCTCTGGGAGGAGCCCTGTCCCTAGCGGCAGCAACAGCTCGGGTAGGTATCCGATGCTAAGTGAGGCAACTCTAGCATTAATGTATTCAAATTTATTGCCTGATTGTGTCTATGACTGTCCCACTTTGTGTGTGTGTGTGCATTTTTAGCTTTTGTAGTTCCTTTGAGACAAGACTCCTGTTTCTCAATATCAAACCAAAGGCAGTATGACAGATGGCACTAGAGTTGGCTGTCCTGAGTCTATCCTGGGCATTGCTAAAGAGGCTTGTTTGTCCTACGCACCCTACCATGCCCTGGAGATAGAAGCATTTTGTCATTTGACTTAGTTCCCATCATTGCTTTTCTACTCAGAGATTCTGCCGACTGTCCTTGCGTCATCTCTCTCGGTCAAAAGTGCTGTTTCTTAAGCCCAGCAGAGGTTTCTGGTTCCAGCTCAGTTTAGCCTCAGAAGCGCCATATCTGCTGTCTCACAGGCAACAGCTACATGCTCTCATAAATCCGTCAATAGGTATCTGTGTGAGGAGCCTCAGCAGCAGACATACTACAGGACACCTGAATGGAGCCCCCGAATTAAAAGGACAGCCTCCTGAGTGACTAGCCAAGCTTTGCTCTACAAACAGTCAACTCAGCACTCCCAAACTACTCCCTTCTCGGCTTAAAACGTTGCGTTGTATCACAAGTGACAGCAAGGAGAAAACAACACTGTCCTTCCTATTTAGCAAGTATGCACCTGTGCTCTCAGCCAGCTTTGTTGATGCCCGTTCTAAGGAAATGCGGCTCAGTCGATCCGGTGTGGGGTAGCGACTGGATCGCTGAGCAGGCCGTGCTCACCGGTCTGGCTTACTGAAAGGTTTGCTTATGTGATGATGAGCAAGCTGGAAAGGTCTCTCTGCTGCTAGCTTGATAAAAATAAAATAAAAAGTAAATGATTGTCAATAAAGTGTGTTTGATTCGGTGTCACTGAGAGAAAGAAAATGCCATTTCATGTCACTTTAGAAAGCACAAGGTGTGAAACTTTTGGGGATTTTTTTTGCTCTTGACTAATCTTCAGATTCAATATTAAAATCTCAAACTTCCCAAAGGAAAGAGATTCTGCATCTTTTAATGAAAGATAAAACAACAATATAAACATACACAAATTTACAGAGAAAGGATCAACTTTAATACATCTGGAGTAAAAGGTGTTCTTTTTTAAATATGGTATAAAAATAAATGCAAGAAACATTAACAGAGAATATACAGACAACAGACAAAGACACAGGCTTTCTTTCTCAATGTGAATACATCAGTGAAATGAAACCTTCTGTGCTAATTCATTGTGCAATAAATGTGATGCCATATGTATATTTATTAATATATGCAATTTTTACATTTCTTCCAGTTTTGATTGACGTATTTTTTTAATAAACTGTGCCTAGCAGAAGCTTTTTTTTCACTGTACTTGAGCTTGCAGAAAATAAAAAGACATAGATCCAGCTTGATATGAAGGAGGAAGTGAGCAGACAGTTTTCGAAATGGAGGCATCGAAAGGCTAGAGAGTCCCTCGGAGTCTGTAATGCCTTAGTATACACAAAAGAAAACAAGTCAGGTCCTTGCTCATGCAACATCTTGTTCTACTGTCCTCTGAGTCAGGCAATCAGTGAGCTACAAAGTATGTATAATGATTTGAGTCTGCTTCCATGCTACAAGGTGATCCTTTTAGTAGGACTGCACTAGACTGGTTAACCTCTTTGATGTGAGCGATTTCCCCTGAGGAAAAGATAAAAACAAAAAACAAAAACAGAAAACAGAGGCATGATCACTGCAAACCTGTTCATCAGCAACCACTTAGTGTTGCCACATCACTGTCAAATAACTAGGGGCACCAACTGGAGTCTGTCAAATCTTAAACCACAGGAAGCCCTTACACTTAAACACCTGCACTGCCAGCCAGCTAGATTGCTTTAGAGAATATGCCAGAAAATTTAAAGGCCATTTTTGAATGAGGTTGGTTTTGGCTGAGGAGAATTTGACGCTGAGGTTTTTGCTGTTGGTCATACCCAGAACTTGAAGAAAGCTACCACAAGCGAGCGTGCCTTCTGCTAAAGATGAATGTGTGAACTGTGGTAGCCCTGTCACAGAGGCAAAAAGCTATTTTAAAGTTCAGGTAAGAAAGTAAGAGGCAGATTGCATCTAGGCAGGAAAGCAGATTTTCCATGAACGCAGCTAGTGGTTTGCTTAGACTGTATTTACTGTTTATAAGGAACATTGGTAAGGTATTTACACATAACTGCAAAGCACTGCTTTGAAGGTGTTTGAATTTCCACATTGTTATTTTCCTCATCGTTCCTCCTGTTGCAAGGATGCAAGTTCCAGGTTTTTAGCAAGTCCTTTTAATCAGGTATAATGACTGTCCCGCAATAATTAGGTCTACAGCGTGAAGAAGATGGTGTAGGGTATGTCACCACGGTATATTTCAGGCAGCTTTGAGCTTTATCTGAGCCAGACAAAAGCCCTGAAACCACATAACAGGAATTAGCTCTCCTAAGGCCATATAAAAGGAGTTAGCTCCCCTAGGGCCATCCTACTGTGGCTCTGATCCAACAGGGGCAGAGCTGGCACAGCAAGCTTACATCACTCCTCAAAATACCACAGGCATACCCTGACAATGTAACATAAATAGATCATAAAACATTAACATTACTAGAAAGAAACATTAACCAGAAAGTGGCTCTGTCTACCTCTCCAGTTAGATATTTAATACTTACATTAATTGTATTGTGCATTTTAAGTGCACAACTCAGAAAAATCAAACTGATTTCAAGGACATACAGTAAGAAATACTGTAACTATGAAGATGCTACATCTTATGCAGTAAATGGTAAATGAATTTATTCTGCTGTATCTATGAGTTGTTAAGTCATCTGCTGTATTATAACTCGGTGGAATTACACAATTTAATATCTATTGTCATTATCAAATTTATGCTCACAGGGATCTGCAAGTTGGTTTCAAGCATTTGCTCAAATGCAGTATATATCAAGAGTGGGTCTTCACAAAAGTAAGAACTATTTTATTCTTTGTGCTCTGAAATACAAGATGAAGAAATTAGGATGAATATTTCCCTGACTGTATAATTTTGAAAGGAAGTAATGATCTGCGATGTTGGGTGAGACTGCTCATCCATCAGGTTCACCGTATCACCTGACAGTATTAATACTCACTTCTTCGTAAGAAAGAAATGTCGTTCTTGGAACGTTCTTTTCCCTGTGTCTAGTTTTAACTCTGCCACCTTCTACCTACATTAAATTAACAGCTTGTTGACAGTCGTTGAGCCTGAAATTATGTTTGCCTCTAATGTAAGAGGTAAGCTGTTATACTAAGACATCTTTTCTTTTTAAATGGTCAAAAAAGTCTCAGCAGCTGTGTGGCACTGGAATATAATTTAAACTATCATATCTGAAATTAAGTGTTTGGTTCAATTCATGATTGTCAGCCCTGGACATAATCTATGAAAATATTGAGCATACTCTTTTGGGTTTTTTGATTAAGTGATTTGTACTTAATTTCACAGATATACAGGCTACTTTCTGTAAATATGTATGAGTTCCCTGTAATACTGAACTGCATAAACCAGTTAATTAAAACTATTATACCAGGACCTCTCCATTAGTTGTTAAAACAATTTGCTTAATACCTCACTGGAAAGCCACACAAGCTTTTGTTGTGGGATCTGTGAAATATTTTTTTATTCTTATCTGCAACAATTGATTATTTAGGAGTTGTAAATTCCCTGAAGTGTAAATACATGGCCATATGACCATATGATAATCCATGGTCATCCATGATGATGACCATAACCAAATTCCATCATCTCGGGAATGAACTGTGATATCACACAAACTAGGAAGTTTTGACCTAAAAGCAGGCCAAAAGTTAGTTTTAGTTAGTTGATCTGACTTGTATAATCTTATTCTACGAATTAGTTGAATTTTCCCTTATAGACACAGTGAGCTGTCATAACATTTTTTTCTGTATTATACATCACTTGCTCCCTGGCTGTTGCTGGTCTTTGGACAAGTTTTCTCCTAAACCCTGCAGTGATCAGGATTTCTCTGGATGGTCCTGTCCTCTACCTCCCCTCCCTGCCTCAGAGAATACTACGCTTCTTAAAGATAGGAAGTCTCCATCTGAACAATAATAACATATGCTCTTTTTCCGGGTATTAGTAGTTCTAATTTATCTTATAGTTGGAAAAGTAACAACTTAGAAGATACATCCTCCATAAAGAGATCTTCTTCCATGTTTTTTCTGAATTACACTTTGTTCTCTCATTGGGAAAATAAGCTTTTAATACACAGAATCCAGAGCAGCCCCAAATACAGAATTATGCCACGTTCTTATGCAGATCTTTTAGTTTTACAGGATATTTCTTTCAAACTTTGTTCCAGAATATACTTCAGCTCTGCAAAGTAGACTTTTCATAATTATTACTTCTAGGAAATTTCCAGAGTCACTCCATTTACAGACTGATGTAAGGATCATCCCTTGTGGGTCATAATTTAAGAGCTGAGCGCAGCTATTTCTTTCAGACACAACGTTAATAGCATTCCCTTTAGCCAAACTTTGATTTGAGAAACTACATCTAACAGGCCAGTTTTGAGAGGTGTAGCATATGTCACACATAGAAAAATGTTTTCTGTGATAATGATATTAAAGAAAAATTGGAAGAAAAGTCAGAAGACATAGTAGATGCTTGTCTGAAGAATGAAAAGGAGACCCTTAATATTCTCAATGTAACCTTGCCATCAACATTTAGAAGTACATGGGCAAATTCTAAACAAGGTTTTAATTTTTGGCTCTATTGGTGCACTTTGGACATAGAAATTGAAACTATTTAACAATTTTACTAATAATGCAGAAGCCAAAAGGAAACCCCCCCGCATACCCTGACAGTGGAGTCAGAGTACGAGGAGGCAGCACAGCAGCTGGAGCGAGCAAATACATCTAAGAATATGAAGTCAATTGACCTCAGTGTTCATGTGCCCACCTTAGGGTATTAACTGTTTAATGTGGACTTGTCCTTCCAATGGTACTTTTATGGAATTTAGGGGGAAAATTAAAAAACCATGCTCAGACTTATGAGCTACTAAATATAAACATGCTGACTGACCAATTTAAGCAGCGTGACACTAACACCTCAAATTATCTGGCAAACAAGTCAGCAACAACCTCAGTACATATGTGGCTTATGAGAAGTCATTATGAAACTTATATAGAGGCTGGAGCTGAAATGTATCAGAAGAAGATCAGGTCTTTTCCTTTTAGAAGACTAATTCTCTTCCTTTCTGCTAAGTAACCTCAGTGGCTCCTTTTCCGTATTTCTTTATTGCCAGCACAGATGCTACTCCCCAGGACCAATCATGGCAGAACTAGAAATGAGAATTCCACGCATCTGACCGGCTGTAACAGAGAAACAGTGTGAACCCTGCTGCGAGTGAAATGAGATGCAGAGTGAGAATTGACCCTCCTTGCTCTCACTGTTCCCATCTGCTTGTGCTCGGTACACTTGCAGCACGCCGGCGGCTCGGCCAGCATCGGCAGGGAACGCTCCCAAGTGACATGGCAGTGCACCACGCACAGAGCCGGTATAGAAACAGCCCCTGACAGAAGCACATCTGGAGAAGCACAGGAGCAGAAGCAGTAGGTCCAAGATTAGGCAGCCCTTCCTCCTCTAGCACAGGGAAATGGCTTTAGCACTGCTCAGGGGGTTAGGATCCTGCTTTGATTCCCACAGCAGCACAGGACGCTGCTCCCAGCCACCCGTGCAGGTGTATTTCCCGTTCAGGCATGTGAGGAAGGGGAGGAGGTTAGCATTCACTGAATTTGGGGCACAAGTTGTTGGCACAGCTGCAGTGCTAAGTAGTTACACGTTCAGGAAAATCCCTCTGGCTCTCGCGGGGATTTGCAGTCCTCTGTTCATCCCTCCTGAGGGCCGCACCGTTTCCTGAAGCCATCCATAGGTGGGAGGCAGTGGCTGAGGGACTGCATTCCCACTTTTGCTCATTTCAAATTGTGTGACACTGCTGATTTCTTTCTCCTTTCCCACTAATCTTTACATTCACTGATGAGCTGCTCTCATTTGTGATTAACCTACTAACTCTTGCCAGATGGGGTAGTTTGAACTTGAATAACCATCTAAGTGCAGGGTAACACGTAAGATTTTCCAAGACACCAATGCATTAGACAAATATTTTTGTGTATTTGTCCTAGGCCTGACCCTTCAGGTTTCTCTACCTCTCTGCAGTTCTCATTCCTGCAAATAGCTTAAGACTCAGGTAAATGTTTGTCAGCTGGGAAATGGCAGACACTGGCCTATACCTGAACGGTACGTGCTCCCTGAGCTGAACCTGGCTGTGCAAGTGCTGCTCCTCAGCTCTTCTCCTCCAGCACAGAGCCCAGCAGCTTAGCTCCAGTCACTGCCAACCAGGACAAGGAGGTCAGTCCTCACCGGTGTGTCCTACAGATGCTCTCTCTGATTTTCCTCCTTAGCCTGGGCATCATTCCTAAAAAGATCCTAAAACTAGATTTTTGGACTAATTATTAGTCCAAACTAAATTTTTCAATTATTTCATCAGTTCTTTTTAGTCAAACATCAATAAGCCATCTCTTTTCTGAAATGGAAAAAGCTTTTTTTCTGTAAATAGATATTATTTTTATAATTGTTTTGGATTTGTCAAATAAGGAGATTGATGATATAGTTTTTTCTGACTAACCATTTTTTGGTTTAAATTTTAGGAATAACCTGTAAGTAAACTCGAAAGTCTAATTAGGATTTCTTCCATGACCATCCCACTGAACATGAGATCCCACAGCTGATACTGCATTGAAGCTCATCCATAATGCTGTGTTCCAGAAAAATATAGCCCTTGGCAGGATTTCAGGGCTAGATGGACTTTTGGTCTGGCACAGTAGGGCCTTGTGTGCTTAAGTTCTACATGTTCATATAGAAATATTTCTTGATTAACAGATGAAATGGATATATTATCTGCCTTGTTTCTGAATAAAGGGACAGATTTTAACATGACAAGAGAATACACTGGTTTAAGCATCTAGAAAGTCTATCCCCCACTGATAAGAACTAAGGAAGCTATTTTTATGAGTTTTAATTTCCATCTCTAGATCATAATTTGCTATGCCATGTTAAGTGACATTGTACTAAGCCTCTGTGAAAATGTGCTGTGTTCAATGGCCTTCACATTTCACATCTCATGCATGAAATGGTCTAATGTTACTGGTTTGGAGAGGGAAAATATCAAAGGACACTGGTAAGCAAATTTTTCCAGCTCAGTGGGAGAAGGCAGATGGAAAAGTTATGGGTAATGTAAGATACAATGATTTTAAATTTAGAGTTATTAAATGGGGTCTTGTTTATGAGATTATGAGTGAAGATGATTATCATCTGATGACTCTCTAATATACAAACTCATTTTGGTTTGTTTTGTTCTGGCTGTATTTATATAAAACATCACAAACTTGCAAAAAACACAGTTTTTTGCCTTCTCTATAACTGGGAAGCATTGGATGAAACTCTAATACTGATGGTGGTGTGTGAAGCTGTGATATCAACACGTGATAATGGAGTGTCTCCTCCTAAGCAGCTCTGAAGGGACAGACTGAACATTCTTGCCTTGCTAACTGGGTTCCTGGCAGGACAAGAAAATTTGTATGGAGAGAAAATTAAAGTAGCCCACTCCCCTTCGTTTCAGGCTTCTAGACCGATGACCACAGCTAAGCACCAGGCCAGCACTCACAAAGGTGTCCTGCTCAGATTACCAGTCTGACACTGTCACAAATCCTACATGCACATGACAAATTAAAGACAAAAGTTTTCCTTAAAGGACCTCTTTGTTCCCATCAAAATTACCAGTACATATTCACCTGTTGTTTTTTTTTTCTCTGTAATGTAAATGTTAGTACTTGAGATACAGGAAGCTTCCTGATTTTTAGATATTTGTTAATATTTGTTTTAAATATGGATTTTTTTTCACCATGTAAATTCTTCAAAAGAAGTTAAGTTTTTAGATGCCACAGAAACAGCTCATTTTCCTCTCTTTACTACTGTGGCAAGCAATGAGATTGTCTTGCTCCCTAGCTCATGCTTTTAGCTTCCCTACTCACTTCCTTGGGGAGCTGCAGGTGAGAAATCTGAGGGGCTGAGCTGGCCAGAGGGGACCACAGAGCACACACTGTCACCACTCCATGTGCTTCTGAGACAGAGCTGTGACACTTGTGGTTGCTGGTGTTACTCCAAATCAATGCACTTATCCAGTGGCATCATTCCAGTAGTGCTGAAGTATATGTGCTCTATGTTTTCACACAATACTCAGGAATGTGAATAAGTGAGACAAACCACGAACAGCTCTGCTTACTACTTAGAGGCAAACTATACACTGTTTGGTAATAAATACTACATATAGCAAATGCCAATTTTCTATTACTTTATCTATATTGTATGCGAATGCAGACCTGTTTCTAACACTATTCATATGGTCTGTTGTGGACTGCTAAAGGCATTAATAATTTTACACTATAAAATCTACAGAGCAAGCTAAATAGCCAAAGTTTTTAGGCTGAACATTTAGGGCTTTCATAAAGTGCATCAATTTATTGAAAGTTTTCTGGAAAGAAAAGTCTCCAATGTCAAAGAACTGCAGAGCTGAGCCTTGGGTTTTTTTAGTGTACACAGCTCCACTTTTATTTTTTCCCCATCAGACTAGAATAATGACTCATTATATTAGGTTATTTCCACTTAATTCAAGGAACAGTACAGAGGGATTGCCCTTATTCTAAGCTTTCTAGTTTAACAAATGCCTTTTGTAGCAGGTATAACCCACTTCCAATTATCACTGATCAGGAGCCTCTTATAGTCTCCATTTTATCAAATCAGGTTATGAATTACAAGGTCATCTTCTCAGGTTCAATCCCTAGACACAACCGAGGTTACTGGGTTCTTTTAAACATTTAAAATGGAAAAAACTGAGGTCTAATTTAGTTCAATACAAACCCACTTTGATATAAGTGAGAAAACAACTAGTGAAAATTAGTCTACATTTTCTAAACCACCAGAGGTGAAGAGAAACTACAATTTTCATCTTACTAAATCATTCAGAGATGATGGTGTTTATCCAGGTTGCAGAAGACCTACTTCACACCTATTTTCTGTATTAATCAGAAGAACAGATCTATACCACAGTCCCTCACTTCACAGTTGAACAATTTAATCAGTACACCATAGGATATTCTGAGAAACGTTTTCCTCATCCCTGCTGTTTGGAACCCCTGTACCAAGGTAGAAAATTACATATTATAAACTCATACATAACCAAGAACAAGAATGGAAGAACAAGGATGCCTGGTGGCAAAGGGTCCTGGGGCAGTGGGTGGTGTGAATTCAGTCTTCTTGGAGAAAAGGTTTTGACTTGAGCATCCTAACATTCTAGATTAATTTGCAAGCCTCAGAGGTGCTGATCTAATGGAGAATATAGATCTAGCAGTGACATGTTTTACTTTCATACCTGACCTGACTTGACAGACTCCACCCAGATTCACAGGTAGTAGTTAGAGGAAAAGCAAAACCACCATTTTTATTTTATAGCTTGCTCTGTGAAAAAAAAGAATCACCCTTTTCTACTGAAGAAGTACTAATGCTTCACACCCAGAAATCCTTGTTCTCATTTCTAGCTCACAGTTAGTTTATTTGGCCTGCCTTGCATCTCTGGCATCCTGCTATTCTGGTACTTCTGCCCTGAGATGAGCAGGGTGAAAATCAGGCACGCCTGCAGGGCACAACGCTCCAGTGTTTGTGCACAGAACTGCTGCTTTGAGAGGGATTATCGGAGAGTTGTTTTAGTGCTTCCCACTCTGTCTTCCCTTTTCCCCTTTTTGTGCTGTATTCTCACACCTGTCTGCAGCTTGCTGTTTCTCTCCTTATAGCCAGCTGTTTACTTACTCTTTATCATAACCAATTCCTGATCTGTGGGCTGTTTAAACTCCAACGAATAAATGCAGTTATTGCAGCTTGCCAGGCACTGTGACTGGGAAAGAGCCTGGCTCTCAGAGGTGCCAGATGTGCTACTTACTTTCTACACTTTTACTTGTTTGTTAATATGGAACTTCATATTAAACACCTCCATGTAATTATAATGTATCATGTTATCATGTACAATGTTGTTTTATTGATCAACCTGCTTAGACAGCACACAAATCACACTGCAACATGCTATGGCAACACCACCATGCAAAATATAGGGGTTTTTGTTTCAAACATTGGGATAGTTTCCTTTGTGGCTGTTTATTTACTTTTTAGTGTCCTTACTGACTTTGTCCCATTGAATCCAAATTTCTTCCTGATTACAGTGGATTCAAAGCATATTACAGGAAGCCTTTACCTATAAGAAAGTAGTTAAAGAATTACAGTTTTGTTTTAACATGGGAGATAGCCCCACAGCCTCACAAAACTTTGTTCTTTCACTGCGTTTCTTTCTTTTTTTGATTACTGGAATGTATATGTATATATTTTAAATGCTTGAGGAAAAACTCTTGAGCCTTATTGTATGGGAGGCAGTTTCTGAGAACTGCTTCTCCTTACCTCAAAACTAAAAAAACAAAAACCATGATCTTTGCTGAAAGCTCTCATATTTTTAATTTCAACGCACACAGCTCCACTAACCAGGTCACAGAAAAAGCCACGGACGCACACACACACACAGAGCAGCGTCACCTGCACAATTCAACAGACAATGCAGACAAACTTGAGTATAATCCAAGATCTTTCTACCTCTTTTCATAACAGGTTAGTGCTCGCCCTCAGTGTTGGTGTACAGTTTTTATGGCATGGGAAAATAGGGATGTTTCTGCCCTACAAAAATAAATGCGTTGAATGCTTTAGTTCGAACTTTCACAATGTTAAAAAAAAAATCCAAAGAAACTGGGCAAGTAAAAAGAATCCCACATATCAGGAAATCAGTGGATCTTTTGGCAGTTGGCAAGAGCAAATTTACCAGCCTTCATTTTTTTACCTTCATGAAACAGCTTTTGAAAATTATATATTAAAAAAAAATCAGTTCTTGTAATCCATTATCAAAATGAAATCCCAATGAAACCCTTGTGCATCACCAGCATGAATTCTTTGGTCCTGAAGAAGCTGTGCTAGACATTAAGGAAGATGGGGAAATCATTATTGTTTATTTTTCCCTGTGGCCAATTAAAAAAAAATGGGACAAACTCTTTTTTAGTAAAATACAAAGGAGACAGGAAGAAAATCCAATGCATTCAAACCGTGTTAGACTTCATATTTTGGGAGGCACCAGAAAAAGGAACAACATCAACCAGGTTTTCACAGATTCTTTACTACATTGAAAAAAAAATGTGAATAATTTCATGCTTCCTAATGCAAAAAGCATGGCTCCCAAAGGTCCATTCCTCCATGTGTGACTACTGAGGTCAGTGGGAAAGGGACTAGGGAGGAGGCATTGTAATCAAAGCACATTATAAAGCTGTCATTCCTGGGAAAATTCACAAACTGTGATGAATACACTTTTAACTGTCAGGTTAAAGAAGCAAAAAGGGAAAGTAGGGATCAGTGAGGGGGAGGGGAGAAGGACGTCCCATCAGGTTTACTAGTCTTCCGAGGCAACAAACTTACCACATTGCGTGTGAATTTCTCAAAAGATGTTCGACGATCCAGAGTGTTTTCCAACTTAAATTTAAAATAAAATAAATAAAAGAAATAAAAAGAAAAAGGAGGGGGAAAAGAAAAGCAAGAAAAAATGGAGTAGAAAAGAAGAATCGATGAAACAATGGACTGCAAAACAAAGTTTGTATAAATCAGGAAGCAAACACAGGTATGAAGCTGTAATGGGACTCTGAGAAACAGGGGATGGGCAAAGCAGATATTGTATTCAACAAAAATAATTTTTCACGGGGATTGAACTGGTTTGATTTAAAAGAAAAACTGAAAATAAAAAGAAATAATGAAGCGGACATCTTGTGTTAATGAACTGACAGTCACAAACTTAAGGACTTCACACGGACAGTTGTAGCTTTCTGGTATTTTCAACATCTCTCTCTATATTGGATCTTCAGAAATCAATGTTTGAACAAAAAACAAAATCACACAGTACTTTCATATAATTTTAGGTTGTCATTATAAACAATAGAATTCTATGGTGTTAATAACTACCTTGTTCCGGTAACAATCAGGGCCCTGATTTTGCAAGGCACAGGGCTCCCAGCTGATTGTAGGCAATTACTATTTAGAGCCCACTACTAAAGTTATTTATCATTATAGAAATCTGCATTGCACAAGCTGCTCCACATACTCTGGGCTGTGACTATTCAGAACTCATTCCATGATCTGGATTTTTCCAAGCAAACATTACATACCAAGACATGAGCCTCTGTTTGCCGAAGTGTGACATGATCAGTCTTTCAAGTCAGATTCCTAGCCTACTCAAAACTATTCATGTAATAATAGGGAAAGAAACAAAATTAGGAAGCCCCAATATTTATAGTTGAAATTAGAAGTTATTCATATGAATAAGATTGTTTCTAAACACATTCGGTAGCTTTTATAGGTGGAATAAAGAGAACAACAGTTATTACATAAGCAAACTTGCAAACATGAAAGACTATTCTTCTGGGATTTTATTTTATTGTTTTAATGTATTTGTAAAGCACTTTGCAATTTAAGGTGCTTCATAACAGAGAAAACAGTACAATATGGGATGTAAAAATAAAAATAAGTTTTGCTAGATTAACTCATTGAAACATGCCCGCATGCAGCATATATACACATATATGTATATTGAACTCCTGTGTGTATGTGACCCTCCAAACACGCCAAGCTGGTCACCTACCAGATATCCAGTTGCACTGGCACAGGGGAGAGAAGACTGAGTATTGTTGCAAACATAACCACCGCTTTGCACAGTGGCAAGACAAAGGCAAGATGGACCAATACCTTTTTCTTGGCCTGTAGCAGCTCCTGGTAGGCACTGGATCGTATAAAACGAGGATAAGAATCACTTTTCATCAGTTTGTAAATGTGCTCCTGAAAGGGAAAGAAGGAGCTGTTAATCCCAGAAAAGAAGACATATGTAACACGGGAGGCAGTCATATATGTTTTAGTTGTGGAACGTATACCAGCTAGCACTATTTTGAATAGGAAGTCTTACAGGATAGCAGGTTGCAGTTCTGAAGCCAAGGCTGAATTGCTCTGTATTCTTAAAGCAAAAATCCCACCTCTTTGTTGTGTATAAAGAACACAACACACCTTTCTTTAATTTATAGTCCCTATTTCCACTATGATTTTTCTGACTGACTCCTAGCTTAAGGCCCAGTTTCAAACCTCCCTTACATTAGTCAGTTTAGCTAAGTGACTAAATCAGGAGCTGTGGATCCTTCCTCATCAGATTTGCTGAATTAGTTTTTGGAGATGATACTTTTGTGACTTCATAGGCTGGGAAAAGGAACTAGGTTTCTATTTCAGCACCACAAATAAGTGCTTAAGTTAGGGAGGATATCCCCTGGCTACCCCTGAAAACATCCTTTGACAGATGTTTAGTCTGCTTTCCAGCCAACAATATAAAAAGGAAAATATGTATGCAAATTGAAAAACAGTTCCAGGCTAATCTAACTTCCAGGATATTTATCCTTCAGGGGCATATGAAAAATTGGAAACCCTTATCCAGAAAACAATCGACACAAGCAGTTTATACAGCTTTCTTTTTGGAGCATTCTCCTTTCTCTAAAATATGAAAAAAAAATATTATGTGGGACACTTTATAATTTTCCTTCTAGCTATAATTTTAGAAAAAAAAATTGTAGAAAAAGCAATCAGAATAGGAAATACTCTCAGGAAAAAAAAAAATTAAAAATTAACTAAATTGTGTTAGCTATTTTTGTTGGTTTTTTATACTCAAACCCTAACTTTTACTATAGGAAATTTGTAGCACAGCAATCAGGAAACAGCAAATAAGCTGTAAAGTAAATACTGCTTCTCAGCTTGGTACTGCATAAAATTAGTGAAGAGGGGAAAAAAAAAAAAAAACCAAACAAAAAACCTCCTTGCTTGAAAAATATGGCAAGGTAAAATTAAAGCTGATTTTTAATTTTTGTTGTATTAGAAACTCTAGAAATGATTCTAAGTGCCTTTCATTGTGTTCCTTGCACTAAGCAGAGGAATTCTGGTGTATATTCAGAGCTTAGGCTGGTTCGTTTGGGGAGTTTTTACTCCTCTCAGTTTCTATGAGAGCAGCCAATGCAGCAAACAAAGAGCAGAAAGGACTGCGATGGGCATTAAAATGTTATTTCTGTGCAAAACCCAACCTGTAACAGCAAGAGTAAATTAGGCTGTATTAGTATTGTTAATGTACACATTAGTCAGGAATTGAGGCTGGATGTTATTTAGTACAATTGATATATTTTTATTTATGTGTCACTCTCATTTGGCCTGGAGTTCCATGGCACTATGGCAATCCAGAAACACTTTTCAAAATATTTTTTGGCCTACCACCTGCTAGACTGACTTACGAGTAGTCTCTTCCCACCTGGCAGGCCAGAAAGAGCCTGTTGCAGAGGCAGAGCCCTACTCCTGACCAAACCCTGACAATTCAGGTGTGACACTCTGGAGAGGTCCTAAAGCTTCAAGTCAGAACATGGCAGGTACCGTTTGCCCCCTTTTCCCAGAGAAATAGAGGCTTCCGGGTTCAAGTTGTATGCTGAACTGGATCAAACAAGCAGAGGTCTGACAGGAGGGAAATTTCTACTTGCATAAAGACTGAATACTCCATGTCTTTCATAAATAAAGGAAAAAAAGATAAGATGAGAGAGATCTGGAAGTAAAATCTTGTTGAAATTTTACACCTTTTTTTTTTTTTAAATTGGATACTGGCAAGGAATTTGATTGTCCTTTACTGATTTAACTGCAAAGATATTTTTAAAAAAAACTTTAATCTAGCTAAATTGTTTATATGTGTAACTTATGTCTTTGCTATACACTGCATTCCTAAATCTCCAGGGGGTCAGCAGATGCATGCAAAACTGTGTTTGGCTTAACGCAGAGTACTTCAAAACAGTGGGCATGACATAGTATCTATATGAAAATTTTATAGTTGCATCATAGGTTGCTCATTCTCATAATGGCAAAACAAAAAGGTAGGAGAATTATTTTCCCTCCTATTCAGGGCAAAGACATTTCCCCAAAAAGTAAAAAGCCCCAATTTAATTCCCTTCTCTCCTTTGTGGGACTTATAGCAGCACCTCCTGACTCCCAAGATGATGACCTAATAATCAATCTGTAAGAAATTCTGCAGGGATATGATCTCAATCTCTTCTTTTGACACCATTTCATTTTGCATGAATAATTAAATTTTCATCACTGGGCTGCTGATGAAAAAGTGAGGATGGTACTGGTTCTACTACTTTTACCGTGAATCCAATTCTTTTTTATTGCTTTTTGCAGAAGTTTGCAAAAATGAAATATTAAGTTGTAAGTCACATGAAGTGTCATATTGAACACAGAAGTATTTGTGTTTTCTTTTGAGGAAAAACAAGATCTGTATTTTACCATTTTGGTTTTTTAACTTTTACTTCCAGTCTCAAAAATACAAATATTTTCACAAATCTAGATCTGGTCAAAAGTATCTTTTGATGATGGTATTCAAATTGTGACTAAACCAGACCCCCAAAAGCAAAATAAGACATTTATAGACTGCTCTTTACTGCTGTAATACTGATTATTGAAGAGCAGATCTTTAGGATCTTTGCCCAGTGTTCTCTAGATAGTAGTTTAATAAGGTATAGAATATACATCCATGAAATATGATACTTCCACACAAGCTGTTACAGAATGTTATTTCTCACATGGGTCATATTCTCTTCATAATGGGAATCTATAATTCCTATAAATGACAACATTTCTGGACATGTGTTGAGAGAACAGACACTGAGCCTGTATCAAGGGAAGTCTTTCAGAGCCAGATCTTGAGAACTAGAAATCAATGTGTGTGAGGGGGAAGCTTTTCTCTTAGTGTAACTGAATAAGAAAATTAAGAAAACAGGAACATGAAAATATCATTTTCACTGCACTATATGCTTTGCTCTATTTTAAGTCCATTTGCAGAATCGATGGCAGGCAAAGAAGTTTCCTGAAGATCTTTAGTAATTCATAGGTTTCATGAAAGAAAGAATGTTTGGCATTGCCAAAATGACATTTTGGGAAACAGAATATTACCATTTAATTCCCAAACACATCTTATTTTTTAATACAGCTTTCACTAACCAATATTCTACTTAAGTGTCCCTAAACAGGATTACAAACTCACCTGAGCATCTTCAAATGTGTATCTTCCAGGGTCCTTTACATTCTGCGTGGTTTTGTCATAACTTTTTGAATCTAGATTGATAGCGCTGGGTGCACCTGGAGCAAGAAATTCTTGCCAGATTTCTTGGACGCGAGCAGGAACTTCACGGATAGGCCTCTTCTTCAGGTCTTCTACTGCTAGCCAGAACCTATGGCACAATATAGCATCTTGACTTCCAATTCAGTATAATCATTAATCAAGTGCTCATGCTCTTCTTTGCTCTTGAAAAAATGAAATAACTGAAGTTTTCATCTATAACATGCTAAAACAAGAAAAATCTGTGATTTTATGTTGGGTTCAGCAGTCTGGTATACTGTCTTAGGCAATCAATCCACTCCTTTGTAGCATGGATGGAAGCAGTCTGTGCTTATCGCTCACAAGCCTTTATGGTCAGCTTCGCTCTACTGAGATGACTATTTTACGTATTTCTACACCCTTCGATTTCCATAGAATCTAAGCATAATCTTTCTGTCTATTGATCCCATTAAGATTGTCCAAGAGACAGAGAAATAAGGCTGTCACAGTTTTGCAAATATATTAATAATGTAATAACTTACAGTGGTTTCCCCAAGGTCACACAGGGAGTCTGTGCCAACAGAAGAACCTCAGTTTCAAAAATTCTGGGTAGCATCACTTATCTCTATGAACCACAATGTGAACTGAACATAGAACTGCACAGAGCCTGAGGACATATCCTGAGAATCTGATGGCAATGCGTAAGAATAGAGGCCTCTCAACTCAAGTTTAAAAACTGCACAGCTCACAAACTCTAATTCAGTTCACTCTATCAAATTCGGGCAACCTACTTTGGTTTCCTTAAGCTGCTTTTGATATTTGCATTTAAAAGTGTATATCCTGCAGTGCTAACCCCTTCAAATGCATCTTCTGGGACTGACTGATTACTCATGTGTATCGAAGTCAGGTAAGGAAAAGAAAAATGAAAGGGAATGATGTTCTTTGTAAACACACATTTTCTGTCACCCTGCAGATATCCTGAGGATCTAGCTCAAAGCTGTCACATTCTTGTTTGTTCCATTATATCACTGCCAATACTTCTGGAAGTCACCACAAACATGCCTTAGGTTGCTATTTTCTTTTGCAAGTAAACTGTTTCCATATAGTAGGTTATACTCAATTATGGGGAACTAGATGGGAAATAAATTTAGCTTATTTGAGGAAACATTTAGCTTCCAGCATAGAATAGGTTATATAGACATATTCTTACAGGCTGATCACTAGCTCTTTGATGGATTAATTTTATTTTACCCTTCTAACATTAGCATTCAGAAACCTTACTGAAAATTTAAGGTTCTAAATATAGAAACCTCTGTAAAAGTGGGAAGAATATGCTGATTTCTGCAGTATGTTATGTCTATGGTGCTTACTTTACAGCCAACACACATTTTAACATTCTAAGCTTCTTACTGATCTTTCAAGAAAAAATGTCTGCCCTCCTCCCACTGAGAGTTAAAATCAAATATGCAAAGTTAGGAAATGCCAAAAATAAGGCTGCCACCTTTTGCATTTTCAAAAATAACTTTTCTGAATATCCCATGGCAACCAACAGCACAGAGAAGTTGAAATGGAGTCTGCAAGACCTCAGCAGAGGGCCTCAAATCAAAAGAGTTCCCTTTCCCCTTTTATAATTCTCTGCCTCATGAGCTGTGACCAGAGCAAGGGAAGACTCCTGTAGCAAACAGCACACAGTGTGCAATTGTAAATATGTGCAAAGGCAGGAGAGGGAAGGCGGGGAACACAACTGTATTTTCTGGACGATGATACACACTGACTTAGTGCTACTTTGAAGAAGGAACTAGAGTTCTCTCTCTCTGCCCTTGCATCAAACTCTGTATCTCCTGTTGGTAGAGGTTTGCTTTTGCCATGGAGACTCTCTCTAGAAGATGCTCAGTAACATTTGAACAGAGACCTGAGTAGCTGGGTGTAAACTGCTGTCTTCCGTCACAGCATTTGGGCTGCCACATGCTGGGTCACACACCAGACATATAGCTGATGAGAGTGTATAGCACATGATAGGCATACATCCAGCCACATGACATGGTAAGACACATGTTGGAAGACATCTGGGGATTACGTCCTCCAGCTGGATTACTTTCAAAGTGAGGGTGGCCTTGCCAGATAAATAGCACAGCTGCAACACAGCTTCCGTCCCATGAACTGACCTAAATGTCAGATGCAGCCATCAGCAGATCCCAGATCAAGTTAATCAGTTAAATTTAGCACGTAGGAACACAGAGTCACAGAAAAGCTGCAGTGATTCTCCACAAAAAGTGTGAGGTTTAGGCAGAGTGTGGAGCCAGTGAAGTGGGGATTACGTGGGCTTTGCACCCTGTGCATGTGACACAACAAGTTGGAGGACAGACTTTTCAGTATTTTCAGCAAAAGCAAACAAAAACCTTAACAAACTCCATGAAGAAAATCAGCTGCCATTTTTCAGGGGGCAGGAATGACTACTCTTTGATTGCTAGGGTTCACCTTCTTGCCAAGTACAACTTCAAGCTTCAAGACATAGTAGTGCTGAAGGTCTTCAAGAAAATGACAGAGAAAACCATTAAATCTTGCAACTAGTTCCTTCTCATCTAAGCTGCAGAAATGGCAATGTTGCTGGGACTTTGAGTTTAAGCTTGAGTCTGAATGAGAAATGAAGCACATGCAATTTCAGCCCTGAGGATTAAATTTTAGCCAAGTTATTGGCACCCAAATCAGGGTCTCATAATCAGTAATGTGAAGGATAAACATTACCAGTTCCCATGCTGTGTGGGAAAGTGTCATTACCAACACTTCTCTTCAGACTTGCAGGACAGACATTGAGGACAATTAATCAACCGTCATACTTTGTAACATGCAGAACTCTCTCCTCCACCATCAGCAAAGACAGAAATGTCTTGCAGTTAAATTAATCAAGTGGGGATCAGTAATAAAGAGCAAAAAAGTGACACAGACTGCCTTAAAAAGAAAACTTAACCTCTTGCACCATTCTCCCTCTTCTCTACTAAAAGCACTGTTATGGTGTTATTAAAAGAATAACCAGAATCACTGAGGTAAGTTAAACATAAAATTAAGCATAATGACTGAAACAGTTTGTAGGCAACACTGCGGATTTTTAGTAGTGTATATGTGGGGTTTTATTTCTTTTTTTCTACAGGACATAATTGAAGCCTCTATCTCCAGTAAAGAACATTTCTATAACTTAAATGGATGAGTCCAAAATAAACACTTCACAAAATCTCAGCTTGCAGGGGGATGGTCAGAGAAAATTTATCAAAAGAAAACATCCGAATCTAGCTAACTCCTTAGTCTCTCTCCTTTTTTTTTTTTTCTGGACAACCAGAATTCAAAGCCCCTTTTCCCTGTTTACTCATACATTACGGAAGCTAATAAATAAGGATCAAAGGAAGGGGCAAGGGGTGCAGTGGCTTTTCTTTCCATGCATCATGGAAGATGTCCTGTCACCACTCTCCCTTCACTAATCTAGGAGGCTTTTGCAGTCTTATCACTGCCTTGGAGATCACACCTACTGCAACACTGCATAATGACTTGGACAGGCTTTCAGATTGGCAGGCCTGAAACCATTTAGATCTTTACAAGCTGCAGTTCCTACAAAACAACCACTTGGGAGCAAATGTACAGTCAGCATATGAATATTAACTTTCCAAAGAATTCTGCAGCACTACGGACAAAGGAAAGATACAGAAAGAAATGGGGATTTTCCACAGAGATGAAAGAAATTAGGTCTGCGTGTGCCACACTGCAGTAAAATTCATTTCAGTGTCTCACTCTCTATGAAAGTCCTTTTTTAGTGCTTGGACAGCCTTGTGACCAAGCTCAGTCCTACTGGATCATGCTCAATCAAGTCTTGTGAATTTTAAACAATGGTCACCATTCTTGTAACAGGCAGTGGGAATTTTATAAATCTATTATCCAAATCATAAGTTACTTCAGCTATTTGTTCTGTGTAGTGGGTATACATACAAAGCAATCCCTCCAAAAAATTTGCATGGTAACAAGAGATTACAAGTCATAGCCTGCATTAGGTGAATGCAGAGTCCAACCTGGGTGTTGGCAAACTGCAATCACACTGTAATGAAGGTACCGCACTGACAGAACTGCTTAGACAGTTTTATTCCTTTGCTACACTTTACAATAGCTCTTTAAAGAGTGACATACTATTAATCCTAATTTACAGGCAAAGCAAAAAAGCTTGTAACAGAGATACAAAGTAATAAGGTGAAACTTGGTTGCATTCCTAATCATTGCACAGTTCTTAGTTTTAACTCATGGCTTGTTTGTTCATCCCTGTTCTGTTTCTTAAGACAGGTTCTATATCCACTAAGAATGAGAATCTGGGCCATCTTAGACACTTTCAGTCCAAGCTAATCAAACAGTAATACTGAGGCTTTTAGCTACATAAGATAATCACACTTGAACAGAAACAGCGTATCTGGTTAATTATAATTTCACATTTTTGGGATTTCTTTTACCAAAGCAAGGTATAAGACTTCTAATCAACTAATACTGAATCTCTCTCTGGTGCCTGCAGCCCCCTGCGGTATCCTGTGTACTGTGCTTGGTAGCTCGAATCCAGGGTCCCAGTGCAAGTTTGATCCCCTGCCTCATCCTTCTCAGAAACAGCCTTTAAACTCATATTCACTGTTGCTCAGATATTATATTTTATAATGGTAATATAAGAATCTAGACAGAGAGTCAGAAGAGTAAAAGTCATGTCAAGGAATCAGCTCTGAACAAATTTCTCCAGGGAATTTTTCTGGATCGGTGACTTGCAGTTTGCCTGTGGTTAGCGTTGTAAACAGGATTAGAAGAAAGAGCTAGGGATTATGTGGATAACAGTCTAGTTGGCAGAGAAACAAATTAATCACAGAAAAGCACAGAAACTGCAGCACACACTGGGCTGGACAGGTTCATGTTTGAACAGCTGTTCTGCATAAGGAATTACCACAATGGTCTTTAAAAAAAAAATTATCTTTCCTTTTCTTGGTATTATTCTGATTTCTAAAATTTTATTTTACCACTTGGATTTTTAAATTAAAAAAAAAAAAAATCTGTATCTGTCACTAATGAAGTTATCAACATACACATACAGGTTAGGCCATATTTCCATGGGGTAATGGCAAACAAATCAGTTGGAAAATATTGTAAGGTCTAGAGTATCTAATTAGATTTGTGATGCAAAATTCAATGTTTGAATATGAACATGATCGGTAACTTAGAAAAGCCCATCTTCAATTATTCTGCTGACAGAAAAGGAGGTCTATGTAATTACTCAGCATTTACGAATCAACACCACAAAATGCTAAATGCCCCTTTCAAGATGCTATATAAATGTAACTCTAGTATGAACAGCTTTGCTGTACCACTCTGAAGTGAGAACTGGCATAGAAAAAAAAAAGTAGATATGGATTTTTCTTAGTTCTAGAATGTATGCAAGTAGGATTTTACTATTGGTGAATGGGAAGTGATACGGGTGACATCTGACAAGAAGGTGGAATAAAGAGAAAAATATGTTGTACATACTTTTGTGCTATGTACAGTTTGACTTACTTATCTATAGAAAGACTGTTATTAATCCCCCTGAAGTAACTCTTAGCAAAATATTCCTTAAAACAGTGACAACAAAACATGCTATTAGCCAATGGATGAACTATCATTTTTCAAAATGAAATACTTGTTCTCCCTCACTTAAAAGTAATTCTGAATATATACTTATTTTTTTAAAAAAAATTTAAGCTCCATACACTAGCAGTCCATTTTGCAATTAACAAGGAATTTGAGAGCTAGCTGTCACACTACTTCTGTTGTGTCAGATCCACGAGCAATAAAATATTGATGGAGATTTTCAAAAGACCAATGATCCCCAGATACCTGACCAATAGTGAAAGTCTGTGGATTTTACTTTTAAATCCTTTATTTCATAGAATCAAAGAATTTAACAAATTGTTCTTTTTATTAAATGCTACCATTCTCATAATATTTGACTTAATAAAAGATACTGAACAGGCTTTGCACGGGTCAGTGCTTTAAATCTGTTTAATAAAATGAGCAGAGAGAAAAGCTTTTACACGGGTAGTTTGACCAAAAGTTGGACATGAATGGGAAGATACGTTTCATGTGAATCTCTCCTAACTATCTTTCCCTCAGCCTGAATATGTGAGCAGGCAGCAATCTGCATTAATGCATTCTGAAACGTAAGACACAGGAAAATTTTTGAAGGGGTCAAAAAATGAAAAGGTATCAGACAAAAGAAAACCCCACTGTGTCTTACGAACTATTACAAAATAAAGTCCCTCTCATTTACCTTAAATTTTCTGAACTGAATTCTGACTCCAGGAATTTGAGAAACTGCTCTCTTCCCACAGGGTCTTTCAAAGCTTCATCCATGCCAAACCCCCACCGTTTCACCCTCTGCTGTCCTGGCTCTTTGCTACAGAAGAAAAAGAAAACAACAGAACCCACAATCAGCAATACTTCAATATTCTAATACCCTGTGTTCATAATTTAGACTAAGTCCTAAAATTCAAGCATAGATTTTTCACCTTCCAGATTGCTTATACCTGTGTAATGTTCAGACATGAGCAACCAGGCTGTTAGTACTTACACAGAATGAAGGCAATATTCATGCATTGACATAGAAAAATGAGGACTTGCAACTAGGAAATGTTATCAGATTCTAAACAGTGTCTTTTTTTCCCCACACTGAAGCACTGGAAACTGGCTACTGTAACTTTTTACACAGATTTATTAATCAATAGCTCTTTCCATCTTACTAAACTGTAAAGCTGGAAAGACCAAAAGGAAGCTGCATTGCCCATCTGCCTCAGCATTCTCCTGCAATACCTCTGTCCAAAATCTTCATGTTTCAACAAAAGCCTGTTATATACCCTTACTCCAAGAGAATAAATAAAATTATATACCTGGCCTCCAGTTCCCAGAAAGTGGTGTCATCCGATATCCAAGGGTTTGAGGGATCAGGGGGCACAAGAAAAGGATCATATTCCAAATACTGCTCTGTATAAGCTAATAGACTGGGAAAACAAAAGCATCAAACATTGGCATGTCAGGAAGTGAGGAAACCTGATCAGGCTACCCCAGCTAACAACTCATCTTGCATCAACTGAACCATGGCAACCAGGTACACACTCAGAAGTCAGCTACAGGCTCAGGCCAAAATAAGTTTGCCCTACCATTTTAAAATGGACTCCTGAAGAAGGAGGGGTGGGTGAAGTCTTATCAAGAGCTGAAATAAAATAAACTACAAGCTTCCCTAATACTTCAACACAGCTCCTTTTAGGGCTCCTTTAGGCACTAATAAATTAAATCAAGCAACCTCTTCCATGCACATTTGCTTTCATAAAAGAACATGTTTTATACCCCTACAGTTTTAATTATCAGTTCCTTTAAAATCTGTTCTAAAACACTGCATGCTATTCAGGTCATATTTATTGGCCCTGCAGCTGCTGGGACTCCTTTTTTCCTCTTTTAAATATAGTTAATATTTTTATTATTTCCTAATCAAATGGCACTACTTGCAAGTTAATTGCTTTCCAAAAAAAACCCATTTTTTTCCTCAAGTTCTTCAGTATTCATGAATTGGTCTGCCTCAGTTGAACACACTAAAACCTTTGCTTGTATTCTGGTAATTTACATCTTCCATGCCCTTATTCTCACTTTTCATGTTTCCTTTTCCTCATAATTATTGAAAAATTAAGTGAGGACAAATATTTTCTCTTTTCATTTGTATTTATATTATATTCAGTTTGTATTCCATTTTTACTGTTCAGTAAACACAATTTCTTACCTTGTTCTTTGTATAAATATGTATTTATATATGTTTGTATGTGTATGTATATATATACACATATATAAGTAGACACACGTACTAATGTTTATAAGAGGATGAAGAACAATTTGTATTTGGCTTAATTTCCTTTAGTAAGTCTTATGCAGCTTGATTTTCTGCTATTTTCACTAACTCTGTATTTGATGTGTAAAACAGAGCATTCCTTTATCTCTTCTTTACCTAAGCTGTAGTTAGTCTTTCCAATGGGGTTTTTGTTTTATCTGCTTTCTAGCCCATTCCTGAGGAATCCTGGTCATATTTGGAGAAAGATCCTCTGACCCGAAGTAAGCTCAGACTCACTTTTTCAAGTTCTGAGCTCCTCACCCAGTCAGCTCTGCCCGTCAGTTCCTTTGCTTTGTCAGCGATTGCCCTTTTGAAATACCAAAATAGTAACCCCAGACCTATTTCTTTCTCCCTGCCAATGCAAGGTGAAACTTGTCACCACTTGGTCAAAGGCTTTTTCAGTGACTCTTGGGTTTATCAAAAATGTATCATGGAATATCTGGGTCATCTTTTATCAATAAAAGATCTTCATATCTCTCACTTAAGTAAACTGTCATCAGTTACTTCTGACACCTGAGCTCCCTTGTCTCTCGTTCTTTGAAGCTATTTCGTACTGACATTTTTCCAATAAATATCAGTCTAATTGAAAAACCAGAAGATGTGACAATATACTTACCTCTCTGCAACTTTTGACATTTTTAATCTATGTCTGTCTAATTGCATTTGCCAGTGCTTAATCTGCAAGAAAGGAAGGCAAAGAGTGTTATGAGTAATTCATTGCTTGACTCTATTTCCATAACTCTTTATTAGGGGCTGTAATTTAACCTTAATTTATCCTAGGGCATGGAAGAGAAATATATCTGAGTTAAAACAACATTTCACTAGTGCAGCTCTAAAATAAATGGAATTTTCCATCAAAGCGAAAAGATCATACAGAAACAAAAAAAAAGGACCCAATATAACATTTTCCCTAAAGGTTCATCAACAGAAATCCAATTAGCATTTTTTTTATATTTTTGAAGAGAACTACTAATTCTTCAGACATTTACCTTCTTCCAATTCTAACGCCTCAGGAAAGATTTATGAAGCATGAAGAATAGATAAATATGTGAACCCATATATGCATACACAGAGAGGTAAGTATATCCCCAAATCTCAAATCAGTGTTAAAAGGAAGAGCAAGCTGTCTCCTGATAAAGTGGTTAACAGTCTTAGCTATGCAAAGAACCCACTGCTTTTAACTGTTTAATGCAAGATGCAAAAATATCAGGGTTTGTCTCATTAGCTTTAATAGAAGTTACATACCTAAATCCATACATCCTGAAACAGGGAAAAGGTTTACTAAAAGTTTGCTGAACAACTTCCCAGTTACAATAATTTTTGTTTTAATACCTACTTCCCTAAAATATTCACATAAAATTACATCTGTGTAGTTGTTTTTCAAACCTCTTGGTGTAGTTCATCTTCTGTAGGTGGCTTAGTCTCTGGTACTGGTGTGTGGGTAGGGCTGTGACTTCGAATGTCGTTTTGTAAGCCATAGACAGACTATGCAAAAAATATCGGAAAATGATAGTTGCTTTCAGACAATGCTTTCTACATATACGCATAGTAACTGTGATGCTTTAGTACAGTGTGCTCAAGAAGTTAGCCAAGATCATCTTTTTCTGAGGAACTGCAAATAAGCCATGCACACAGATAAAATATTGCTTCCGTACCACGGTGTAAAATAAAGACTCCCAAACCCCCACAGTTTCATAATGCTGTAGAACACAGGATCTATTTTTATTATCTCTCTATATTAACAGCATAGTAACATGGGGAGCAACACAAAAAAGCAGCTATTACAGTAAGTGGAGATGACCAGTAAGAAAAAAAGAAACAGTATCATGAAAGGTAGACTATCACAATTTATTATTTGGATGATTCCCAAATTTGCAATTACTGCTTGGTAAATTACAATAATCTGGATCTTTCACTAATATAAATAAACTAAGCTAAAACTTTCTCTAAATCTATTCTTCTTTTTAAAACATGTATTCCAATGGGTTGACAAGAAAATATACCTCAAAGGGAGTACTTTAAAGTTGGAGTCAATCTACATTTTTATGATACAAAGGATTTGAAAGAAAGTTCCAATCCATCTATACATCCCCAGAGAAGTTACACTGTGGATCCTAATTCAGATGAATCTTATTTCCTCCACAATTTCTGGTCATCCATTTGGGGCATAATTGTAAACTAGAGACACCCTTTTCATTAAGACCAGCAGAAATAGAATTGCTGTTATAGTTCACACTGCATTTTTAATTTATTTTTCCTTAATTACTGACAGAAACATTTTAACATGCTTTATTCAATTCACTAAACAACATGAATAAAGCATGCAAAAATGCATTTTATTTTCATATTCTCTGTGTATTTCTCCAAAGAATTTCTTATTTGATAACATTTACTTAGCAAATGTGTTAATACTAATTCATTTAAGAGCTTATGAAATAATAACATATGTTCACATATTTGTTCTTTGCAGATGTAAGAAAAAAAATATTTTAAGAAACTATGGAACTTCATGCTATAAATTACCTGCACCTCCTGTTTTTAATATAATAACAGTACTTACCTTTCTTGTTTTATGTGGATTTCTCATTCTTGAAGATTTTTTTATATCCACTTCAGTAGTGTTCACACATCCAGGCTATTAAAAGAAAAAGAAAGGAAAGCACAAGGATAAAAACTGGGAAGGAACTGCATATTATTTTCATTGACATATTCCTCCTCAGTTTGTAAGGCTAAGAAAATAAATAACCAGATGCATATAATAACTTCATGTCCCTCTGCAATAGTGCCTGAAACCTAAATAACATACAGTCTAAAGAAGCATCTCAAGTATCATTTTATCTGGCTTATTGTAAGAGAGAATATTTTTCTATTCAGCTTTGTTTGCTGGACTCTATGATGGCTTTTAGGACAAGCTTTACTGTATATCTTTATGCTGAAAGTACTGAAAGCAATTTACAGAGGAGCAGAAAACATCCAAATGCATATTATAAGACACACTTGTGGCACAGAGAGGTACTGATTCAAATTAAATTGCTCCTGGCAGTATTTTAGAATTTTGGAGTGAGACACTGAAGACCACAAGCCTAGAGCTTGTGACAACCCAGATTTGAAATAAAATAAATTCTCAAGATAACAGAAACAAATCGCATATTTCTGCTTCATATTCTTGTTTTGCCAAGGAAGCCATACGATGCGCTCTATAGCTATCCCTCTAAGAAGCATGGTTGACCTAAAGGGACAAAATACATAGAATTGAGTAATACCCTTCTCAGCTGTGAACCCCAGGCTTCCTTCAGGAGCATCTGGTTTTGGGTCATTTTTTCAAAGATGATCTTTTAAAAAAAAAATAATGAAAAAAAATGTGCCAAAACAGGATTTTTTTTGAAGGGAACAGAAGGGGAAGAGGAAGGGAAAGCAGGCTTCAACAGCTTAACCAGAAGACATGCAGTCTAAACAGAAAGACACTCAACACATCTCAGTTGGCCTTCAAAGATCCATTCTCGCAACTCTGTAGCTTCCCAAAGGACACAAGTCCTCTAGTTTCTTCTAATTCATCTTCTTTTGACACTTCCCTCTAAGTACAAACTGCAGAAATCTGTTCTTTACCCATTGCTGGAAACAAGTAATAATAAGTGTTATGCTCTCAGGTGAGATTGACCTATTGATTTTAGAGGGATTACATTTGTCACTGAGAGTGGGAAGTAAAAAATCTGCTTTCTAGTGGGAGCAGATTTTTAATGGAAGTAGGTTGTTTGGTTTTTTAGCAGGAGTAGCTAGATGTAGAATTTACCTTCCAGACAACCAAGCTGGACTTATTATCACACTAATCATACAAGCTTCATTTTCTTATCATGATCTAAAGTGCTTGATGTGGCTGTAAATCTTCAGACAAAAATTTTAAACATTTGTTATATAGGCAGAGCCAAGAAAGCAATACTTTATCTCTGGTAAATATTTTAAATAAGACTGTTTTTTTTTTTTTTTTATCCAGTATCATTTTTAAATTAATAAATAAGTTTTTATTTTAAACTAATACAATAATGTTTGTTTGATCATATTACATCTGGAGTATAAACAGTTCCTCGTCACTAAGAATGAAAACAGGCACTTAGATAATATTCTCAAGCCTGCATCTGACATGATTATTGAGCTAGATTTGGGAAGGTACACTTTGTGCTTGTGAACAAAAATGACAGTTTTTTAGTTCAGAATAACTTCTAACTCAAAGACAATGACAGGTTGAAAAATACAAAATTCTACATGATGGCCAATATAAAGGCAGAAAGCAATTTCATAGGGCAGTATACTGATATACAAAGTTTAAAAGAAAACAATTAATCTACTTCAGGACTATGACAGCAACTGGCAGTGAAGAAGTCACAAGATTTTAATGATACCTACAGCCCTTGAGTGCAGCCATTTGAATAGCAGGCACACTTACATAAGGCAAAAACTGTTACTTGTTTACTGTTCAGTCACGGTTTCTTAAAAGCATGTATTTTAATGATACCTACAGCCCTTGAGTGCAGCCATTTGAATAGCAGGCACACTTACATAAGGCAAAAACTGTTACTTGTTTACTGTTCAGTCACGGTTTCTTAAAAGCATGTCCTAAAAATGCAGAGGGAAAAAAAAAAAAGCCAAAAAAGGGAGCATAAAGCTCATCCAAAGCCTCTTATTTTCAAAGATTTTAATTCCACCAGAAGTAAATTGGTACAAACAGTCCTAGTACCTTCCCCAGGTAACCTCAATGCCAGAGCTGCGCAGATGGATGCAAGGGACACAACAAAAAATTCTGGGAAATTTTTAGGAATGAGACAAGGCTGAAACTTTTGCTGGTTGGAAAGAGACCCAACCCAACACTGACCTTCTACAGCATCTAGTGAATTCTTACTAAAACCTCTCATTAGATTCTTAGCAAGAATCAAGTGGATTCTTACCACAACCTCTCATGCTTGAAGCAGAGCTGCTGTGGCATATCCCAGCAGGGGCACTCATGAGAGGCTGTGAGGGCAGAAACTGGACCAAGGGGTGAGTGAAGAGGAGCCGACAGCAGAGCAGCAGCAGGAACATACTGGCAGGGAAGTGTCAGGAAGCTTCAGTGCAAAAGGGAAGGCTAAAGGATGTATCACTACTCTGACAACCTGGGGTAACAATAGGAGTTTAAGACATATATCACCAGCACTATACAATACTGTTCTCATAATTTGATTTAAATTATATCACTAGAAGTACCTAATATACTTGAGGCCACAATTCCTGTTTTCTTCTCAACTGAAGAATATATATTAAAATGATACTTAATATGAGATGGGATTTATGGTTGCTCTGGTGTTGCCACACTTCATCTGTCAACTTTTAGGAATAAATATCAAACATCTTTTCAACTAAAACAAACATAAAAGCTTGCATTATTTAAACATTTCTCTAAAATAACTCAGAGTCTTTCTGGGAAAACCTTTGCTGGACAACATTTCATTTTATTCATATGCCCCCATTAACATAATAAGTATGTGTGTGGATACAATTACATCCAGCTGTGTTTTCTTTTTGTGTTGCTTTTTTAACTGGACTACCATAGTTCAAACAGTGAGATGCCTGTCAGAGTACTCTGCTGCAAGATTCCCATTTAGTGTGTAATATATAATTTGCATACTAATACTGTAAATAGTTTTCAAACACATTTCCTGGAAGACTTGAAACCTCTTCTATATGTGTAAATAGAATGTTTATTTCTTTCAGGACTAATGTTCTGTATGAAAACAGTTCCCCCTCCACACACAGAGAGGAAAGTCTTGTGACCTTGTCGAAATTATCATACAGCAAGTTCACAACCAGGGTAGAATTTGGCTCTCATCTGTTTTTAAATACCTGGCTGAATAACTGACACATATTCAAAGGAAACTTAGTTTCTTTTCATCCATCTGTTAGTATACCCTTATCTCAAAGTACAAATGCCATTGTATTAATTTACAGCAAAGGACATGTCAGTCCAGGCATGCAAAAATCATTGCTGAGAAAAATTGATGCAGATAAATAATATATTAAAAAAATACAGATTTTTTTAATCCCTACATCAATTATTGGATAATTACATTAGTATGAATTCCAAGCAGCACAACTTTCTATTGATGCTGTCTAGGAGGCTGCATAATAGGATTCTGCCAAGAAACAGTGGGAGGAAGAAGCCTCTTCTGCAAGGAGAGGAGGACCAAGAACTCCAGGTCCAAGCCCTTATATGCTTGGATCTGGCTACAACCAACAGCTGAAAACAGCAACCGCCTGAGAGTATATTTAGTTAAAAAAATCCACTTGGTATTCATAATCTTCCCCTGATAACTGTGACAACAGTGAATTAATTAATTAAGCCCTTGTACAAGTGCTAAGAGAATTAATTTTTTGACACCTGTAGTAATTCTTCGGAAGAATTTGTTGCTTACACCAAGTGGGATGATTTAGCCATGGTACATTTCCATCCAAATAGTGCAGAACACCTAATATTTATAATCTTTTTGCTGTACAAAGTCGCACACTCCAAGAGCCCTTTTTATTGCATGGCCACATAGCCAAAATCAATTGTTATCAACACCTTTTTGGGTAGAAATCTCTTCGCTGTGATGTACTTGTAATTCTAGTAAGTATGAAATCCTTAACAGAAAGTAAATTAATGCTTATATTGACATCAGTTTAAGTTTTGATTTTTTTTTTCTTTCTTAAAAAATACAGCAATTTAACTGTGAATCTACTTAAGCCAGAATAACCAGAAGTTTTCTTGTATCTGAGAAAAATACACCCATGTATGTGGGAGGGAATAAGCTCATTCACTGCAATAGGCTGGGAGCTAACTGTCTGTATTGCTCTGTAGAATGAGGGAGATCTGAGGGAGAAGCTGAACATGAGTCAGCAGCACGTCCTTGCAGCAATGCAGAGAAACCACACACCCAGCTGCATTAGCAATGGCATAGCCAGCAGGCAAAGGAAATGGTTATTTCTTTCCACTTGGCATCATGAGGATACATCTGGAATACCAAGACTACTTTTGGGCCCCAAAAACAACACATGAAATATCTTCAAAATAGAAAAGTCCTGTGGAGGAACAGACGGGAGAGCTGTTACCTTCTGCTGCCTAAATGGGGCTTGCAGAGCTAGACCTGTTCCAGAGGTGCACCATGAAAGGACAGGAGGCAATAGTCAGAAATTGCAGTAAAGGAAATTCCAGTTAGCTATAAAGAAATCTTCTTCATAATAAGAGGAAGAAGTTGCTTAGGAAAGGCTTTGGAATCTCCATCCTTGGCGATTTTCAAAGCTTGCTTAACCAAGGGCCTGAACAATCACATTCAACTTAGAAGTTAGCACTCTCAGTCTACATTTCTGGTACAGCCTGTGATCTTCAAAACCTGCAGGGACTGAAATTCAAATAATCCACCTTACAGAACACTCCAATCAAGTATTCATAGCAGTGTGAAATTCATCACCCTGCCTTCCTCTCCCCACAGCAGCATGATGGAAAGACATGACTGGTATTTGCTTCCTCTGCTGCCTCTGGTCTCTGGCAGCCTGTGGTATGTACTCAATCCGTACAAACAAACCGAGTAATAATTTAGAGGAAATGTAATGTCACAGCCTCTTTAGCTA